ATGCCGATAATGAGTTGGCAAATGGGTCATCTGCTTCTTTACTACTGTAAATCTGAATAAACAACAGGACAAATGGGAAAGAATAAAACCATTCTTCGAGTCTTAAAAAAATTGGAAAAGTTTTATCCAATCACCCAAAATCACATACCAAGTCAAAAATTGAGACCCCTTGAACAGTAATACAGAAACAATACCAAAAAAGGATTAAGAGGGAGAAGAGGCAAGCAAAATATAGAACAATAATAAAACGTAAACAAATGGATAACTTGTTTAATTGAATAAAATAGGAGAATAAAAGTGACAATGGATAGTGAATCAATTCATAACAGTTGACTTCGAGAAATTTAAGTACCTGGGTTGAAAATCTGGAGGGTCAACATCATCAACATCAAAAGGACATGAGAAGCCAAAATCATCCAAGTCATCCTGGAAAGATAATCTACTGGAGCTTCTAGAGAACCCAATACGTGGTGAGCCACTGGAAGATAATGGTCCTGAAAACCGCCCTGAGTCTTCTCTACTGTCCTTTATGGCCTACGAAAGAATACATAAAAGTTATATCAGCAAGGACAAATTGACTTGAGGACAATAATGTAGAAACTAAAATAGAAAAACAACAACTACCTTCTGACCAGCATGGCAATTCGTTATTCCAGCCGTCACCTCTCCGGCCCTTGAAGAATCTATTCTCCGAAATGACCTGATTCCAGAAGGAGACTCCTGTGATGAAGGATCATTCCTTATGCTTCTGGGGGATAAAGGAGGAAGCGAGTTTCTATTTGGATCAGAAAAGTTGGGAGAAAGGTATCTAGAACTTCTGCCTGTCATTGTAGCTGGAATAGTTACCGGGGCAGTTTCTGAAGATTTACGGGTTTGCATTTGGTTAGGATTACCACCATAGAAGTACGTTGGAGGAGACGGGGAGGAAGATGGTGAAAATGGAGGTGAAAGCTGATACTCATCACAAGTGGTAGCCCTTTGATTGCTTAGCAGTCTGTAGTTTTGGACTCTGTTACCATACATATCAGAAGGTGATGATGGAAAATCAGAAAAAGTAGGAGAAGGACGATATGCAGGTGGAGATCTGACAAGGTGTTGGTTCTGCATAAAAGGTGCAGCTCGATGAAAACCACTTGTCCAGCTATGCGGGCGCTCAAGTGGTGTAGAAGGCGGTCGTGCTCCTCTCAAAGGAAAGGAAATTGCACGAACACCCTTCTCTGAAGTGGGGAAAGATCTCAGCGGATCAGTGGCAGGACTACCAACATAATCTGTGATTATCTTAGGTGGCATTGTTGTTGAAGGCTCAATGTTAAAATCAGAGAGGGTTGAACGGTAAGTCACAGACACAGAAAGGCGACCGGGAAAGGCCTCAACAGGAGGGAAGCTATATTCTTCCATCAATTCTTCCTCTGCCCTTGTGAATGGATCACCAAATGAAGAAACCTTGTAAATAATATCAAAATTATAAGCCTGGCTAGAGCTACTTAGCTGTCGAAAAGCCCGGTAAACCGGCAAAAGTCTCATTTGCGTATAAAGAGAACGCAGAAGTACTATTGATTTCTTGTATGTCCTTTTGTAAGAAGCAGCCATTTCACCGGCTTGAGGAGCCACATTCCGAGGAGATTCATACTGAACTACCCACCTTTCTATAACTGTCTCAATAGATGTCCCTGCTGTAGAAGCAGTATAGAGATTGTCCACGGATGAAGAGTTAGACCCTTCATGAACGAGTATTATGTCGATTATCATTGGATCCATCACATTTCTGTGCCAAAAATTCAAATTTTCTAGAGCCGCAGGGCGGTCTCCTAGTACTAAATTGAACCATTTGTCACTCTTTCTCACTCGGTTAGCCGACGAAAGGTCGCCACTACGATCATGAGGACGAAGAGAGGGAATCCTAGAGTCCAAAATAATATGCAAGCTCTTCAAAAGAAATTGGGAAATAATCTGCTCCAACTTCCCCAATTCAGGTTGAGAATTACTCTGCAAATCCATACCCTTCAGAAACTAAATCTCCAATCAAATTTCCAGTTCCTTTTCCTCTTTCTAAGCATTCCAAAGTTGCATCAAATACATTCCCAGAAAACCACTCCTTACTCCCCAAATCAAATGTACTCAACTTTTGACATGTTCTCATGAAATTGCAGACTAAACGAACAAACATGAACAGTGAAAACCAATTACCTAGATCAAAAGAAAAGACTTTTTGATCTATGGATTTGTAAGTCGAAGCTTCCTGGGGATAATAAATTCGAAAATTTTCCTCTATAAAGCAAGAGCCACCAATCAAACTACTCTGCACGTAAAAGATGTGGAGCAAAATTAACGACCCAAATAATAATCCATA